GAGAGAGAGAGAAGAGAGAGAGAGAGAGAGAGAGAGAGAAGAGAGAAAGAGAATATATATAGAGAGAGAAGGAGAAAAGAGAGAGAGAGAGAGAGAGAGAGAGCGGGGGGGGGAGAGGGAGAGAGAGAGAGAGAAAGAGATGGAGAGAGAGAAGGAAAGAGATATATAGACAGAACAGAGAGAAGAGAGAAGAGAGAGAGAGAGAGAGAGAGAGAGAGACAGACAGACAGACAGAGAGAGAGAGAGATAGACAGAACAGACAGAAGACAGAGAGAGAGAGAGAGAGAGAGAGAGAGAGAGAGAGAGAGAGAGAGAGAGAGAGAGAGAGAGAGAGAGAGAGAGAGAGAGAGAGAGAGAGAGAGAATGGGAGAGAGATAGAGAGAGAGAAGGAGAAAGAGAGATAGAGAGAGAGAGAGAGAGAGAGAGAGAGAGAGAGAGAGAAGAGGAGAGAAGAGAAGAGATAGAAGAGGAGAGTAGAGAGAGAGAGAGAGGAGAGAGAGAGAGAGAGAGAGAGAGAGAGAGAGAGAGAGAGAGAGAGAGAGAGAGAGAGAGAGAGAGAGAGAGAGAGAGAAAGGAGAGAGAGAGAGATAGATAGACAGACAGACAGAGAGAGAGAGAGAATGGGAGAGAGATAGAGAGAGAGAGAAGGAGAAAGAGAGATAGATAAAGAGAAGAGAGAGAGAGAGAGAGAGAGAGAGAAGAGAGAGAGAGAGAGAGAGAGAGAGAGAGAGAGAGAGAGAGAGAGAGAGAGAGAGAGAGAGAAGAGAAGAGAGAGAGAGAGAGAGAAAGAGAGAGAGAGAGAGAGAGAGAGAGAGAGAGAGAGAGAAGAGAGAGAGAGAAGAGAGAGAGAGAGAGGAGAGAGAGAAGGAGAAAAGAGATATATAGAGACAGAGAAGAGACAGAGAGAGAGAGAGAGAGAGAGAGAAAGAGAGAGAGAGAGAGAGAGAGAGAGAGAGAGAGAGAGAGAGAGAGAGAGAGAGAGAGAGAAGAGAGAGAGAGAGAGAGAGAGAGAGAGAGGAAGAATGGGAGAGAGATAGAGAGAGAGAGAGGAGAGAGATAGATATAGAGGAGAGAGAGAGAGAGAGAGAGAGAGAGAGAGAGAGAGAGAGAGAGAGAGAGAGAGAGAGAGAGAGAGAGAGAGAGAGAGAGAGAGAGAGAGAGAAGAGAAGGAGAGAGAGAGAGAGAGAAAGAGATAGAGAGAAGAGAGAGAGAGAGAGAGAGAGAGAGAGAGAGAGAGAGAGAGAGAGAGAGAGAGAGAGAGAGAGAGAGAGAGAGAGAGAGAGAGAGAGAATGGAGAGAGATAGAGAGAGAGAAGAGAAAGATATATATATATATATATATATATATAGAGAGAGAGAGAGAGAGAGAGAGAGAGAGAGAGAGAGAGAGAGAGAGAGAGAGAGAGAGAGAGAGAGAGAGATATGAGACAGAGAGAGAGAGAGAGAGAGAGAGAGAGAGAGAGAGAGAGGAGAGAGAGAGAGAGAGAGAGAGAGAGAGAGAGAGAGAGAGAGAGAGAGAAGAGAGAGAAAATACGAAACAACAGACCCATAAACAGACAGAAGGAAGAAACAGCACCATCCCCCCACCCCCCCGCCCCAAGGCCCTACTTAACGTGACAATAAATCGCCCTATTAAAACAAGAAGCTAATAATTATTAACACGGAAAACTTGCAGGTCGCTCGGCTGTTCATATCGCTGCCGAGAAAGGTCACTTGGACGTGTTAAAGGTCCTGATCGAGGCTGGCTGCGAGGTCACCGTGGGGGACAGCAAAGGTGAGGCTGTGGAGGAGAAATCAAATGGCTGAATGCATACTCACATGCTCACACACACACACATACACACGCACGCACGCACACACATACACAGGCACTCACACACACACACAAGCACATATACTCACATGCTCACACACACACATACACACGCACGCACGCACACGCACGCACACACAGACAAGCACATATACTCACATGATCACAAGCACCCCGGTCCCCTTATACACAATGGATCATTTCTCACATACCCGTAAAGCAGCGTCCTGTCCAACTTAGGACCGCAATCGATCGCTTTCCACAACTCTTCCTCACTGGTCCCTTGTTCCTCACGCCCTCAGGACGCCAGCCGATCCACCTGGCGGCTCTCGGAGGTCACGCCGCCCTCCTGCAGGTGCTCCACGACAACTCGGCTTCTCTGCAAAACTACGACAGGAAAGGTTGGTTGAAAAGGCTCAGCCAAGGAGGCGGGAACACTTCTTGTGAGGAAGTTGTCTGGTGTAGAGGTTCCTCGGGGAGGTGGGCGGCCACAGGACGTGCTAGAATAGGCGAGTGTGTAGCGACTAGACTTTGCATTTGCGCTACATTCGGGGTTTTAAATGTTTACCTTAGAGGGTGATCATGGTGTTAATGGTAAGATGCAGATACTTCCATTAGTATCTCATTTAGAATAACCAACAATAACACTGCTGATGATCATAACGGGAGTAGAACAACCTTCTCCTCCCCTCCCTCCTCTTCCTCCACCCCCCTCTCCACAACCCCTCCCTCTTACCACCCCTACTTCCCCCCTAACCACCAGGCATGCGAGCGATCCACTTCGCGGCCGCCGGCGGGAGCGAGGTCACCCTCGACCTCCTGCTGCAACTCAAGTGCGACCTCGACCTCGTGGACGCAGAGAACCGCACGCCGCTGCACCTCGCCGTCCTGCAGGGCCAGCGCGGCGCCGTCGAGTGGCTCCTGACGAAGAGGGCGACGGCGGACAAGAAGGACGTCAGGAACCAGACTCCGCTGGACCTGGCGCGAGCTCTTGGGCGCAGGGAGATCGAGGAGCTGCTGGGGCGCCGCGGCAGGAGGGCGCCGGTGAGGGGCGGGGATGGCTCGCGGGAATGAATGAGTGGGCGGATGGATAAGTAGATTAGTTGATAGATGATCAGGCATGTGAACTGATAGATAAATGAATGAATATAGTGAACTGATAGATAAATGAATGAATAAGTGAATTGATAGACAAATGAATGAATAAGTGAATTGATAGACAAATGAATGAATAAGTGAACTGATAGATAAATGAATTAAAGTGAACTGATAGATAAAGAATGTAATAAGTGAATTGATAGACAAATGAATGAGATAAGTGAATTGATAGATAAATGAATGAATAAGTGAAGCTGAGATAAATGAATGAATAAGTGAACTGAATACGAATTAAATTGAATAATAGTGAATTGATAGACAAATGAATGAATAAGTGATCTTGATCGAGCTAAATGCATAATCAGAGACAATGGTATAAGAGCGGTGCAATAACTGTAAAATGAGAATGACTATAAGAGGTGAATCTGACTCAGACTAATGAATGAATGAGTGAGCTTGATAGCAAAATGAATGATACGAGTGAATATGATAGATCAATGAATCGAATTAAGAATGAATACGATAATGACTGATAAGTGAACTCGATTAGAGTAAACTGAATGAATTAAGCTGAACTTGATAGACAATGAATGAATTAGTGAATTGTATAGATAAGAATGAAATACGAATGGAGTAGAGGTTGGACACATGATAGATCAATGAATGATAAGTGAACTGATAGGAATAAATGACTGATATAAGTGAACTGAATTAGATAAAGAATGAATAAAGATTGATAGCTGATAGATAAAGTGAATGAATAAGTGAATGTGATAGACAAATGATGAATAAGTGAATTGAATATAGATAATGAAGAATAAGTGGTGAATGAGTAGATAAATGAATGAATAAGTGACTGATAGAATAATGAATGAATAGAGGGTGGAAGCTGAAAGATAAATGAATCTTGATATAGTGCAACTGATAGATAAATCTGAAGAATCAAGTGAATTGAAGAGCAGATGAATGAATATCGATGAAATTGAAATAGATAAAATGAAATGAATAGTGAACTGATAGATAATATAGATGAATAAGTGAACTGATAAATAATGAAGTGAATAGAGGTGAACCTGATAGAATTAAATGATGAACTAGTGAACTGTATAGATAAGATGAATGAAAAGTGTAAACTGATAGATAAATGAATGAATAAGTGAAGCTGTAACTAGAGTCAAATGAATGAATTAAGTGAACTGATAGATAAATGAAGAAAAGTGAATTGATAGATAAATGAATGAATAGTGAACTAATAGATAAATGATGAATAAGTGAATGAAGATAATGAAAGAATAAGTGGAACTGATAGATAAATGAATGAATAAGTGAACTGATAGATAAATGAATGAATAAGTGAACTGATAGATAAATGAATGAATAAGTGAACTGATAGAGAAATGAATGAATAGTGTGAATAGAATGAATTGAATAAGTGAAGCTGATGAGAATAAATGAATGAAATAAGTGAAAGTTGATAGATAAATGAATGAATAAGTGAACGAGTAGATGAAATGAATGAATAAGTGGAACTGATAGGATAAATGCAATGAATAGGTGAACTGAAGATAAATGAAATTGAAGTTATAAGTGAAGCTGATAGATAAATGATAATGAATAAGTGAATCTGAATAGATAAGATGAAGTGAATCTTAGTGAACTGATATATAAATGAATGAATAACGTGAACTGTAGATAAATGAATGATAAGTGAAGCTGATAGATAAATCAATGATAGGTTGGCACTATAGATAAATGATGAATAAGTGAACTGGATAGATATGAATAATAAGTGAATTGATGAATAATGAATAAGTTGAACTGGAATAGTGAACTGATCGATAAATGAATGAAAAGTGAACTGATAGATAATGAATGAATAATGAAGCTGATAGAATAATGCTGATAGTGAGACTGATAGATAAATGAATGAATAAGTGAACTGGATAGATAAATGAAATGAATGTAAGTGAATTGATAGATAAATGAATGAATAAGTGAACTGATAGAGAAAATGAATGATAAGTGAACTGATAGATAATTGAATGAATAATGAACTGAAGATAAAGAATGAATAAGTGAACCTGATAGATAAATGAATGAATATGAAACGATAGATAAAATGAATAAGTGAAATGAGATAATGAATAATAAGTGAACTGAATAAATGAATGAATAAGTGGAACTGATAGATAAATGAATGAAAAGGTGAAACGATAAATGAAGATAAATAGAATGAATATAGTGAAGTGATAGATAAATGAAGAATAAGTGAACTGATAGATAAATGAATGTAAAAGAATGAATAATATGAACGAATGAATGAATAAGTGAACTGATAGATAAATGAATGAATGAAGTGAACTGATACATAATAAATGAATGAATTAAGTGAACTGATAGATAAATGAATGAATAATGAACTGATAGAATGATGAAAAAATTGAACTGAAAGATAAATGAACTGAATAAGTGAAACTGATAAATGAAGAATAAGTGATGATAGAATGAATGAATAAGTGAGTTATGATGAATGAATTGATGAATAATGTAAGTGAAGATAAATGAATGAATAAGTGAACTGATAGATAAATGAATGAAAAAGTGAACGATAGATAATGAATGAATACATAACTGATAGATAAATGAATGATAAGTGAACTGTATAATAAATGAATGAATAAGTGAATTGTAGAGTAAATGAATAAGTGAGACTGATAGATAAATGAAATGAATAAGTGAACTGATCAGATTAATGAATGAATAATAGTGAACTGATAGATAAATGAATAAATAAATGAACGATAGATAGAAATGAATGAACTAAGTGAACTGATAGATAATGATGAATAAGTGAACGATAGATAAATGAAGGTGAATAATGAAGTGATAGATAAAGTTGAATGAATAGAGTGAACGTGATTAGATTAAATGAATGAATAGTGAAGCTGATAGAAAATGAATGAATACGATGAACTGATAGATAAATGAATGAGACATATTTAGTGAACTGAATAGATTAATGAATGAATAAGTTGAAGTGATAAGATAATGAATGATAAGTGAAGTGATAGGATAAAATGAATGATAAGTGAACTTGATAGATTAAATGTAATGAATGAATAAGTGAACTGATAGATAAATGAATGAATAAGTGAACTGATAGATAAATGAATGAATAAGTGAACTGATAGATAAAGTGAATGAATAAGTGAACTGATAGATAAATGAATGAAATTAAGTGAGTGATGATAAATGAATGAATAAGTGAACCTGATAGATATATGAATGAATAAGTGAACTGATAGGACTCAAATGATGATATAAGTGAACTGATAGTAAAATGAATGAATAAGTGAACTTGATAGATAAATGAATGAATAAGTGAATCTGATAGATAAATGAATCGAATAAGTGAAGTGATAGATAAATGAATAATAAGTGATACGTGATAGATAAATGAATGAAAAATAAAGTGAACTGAATAGATAAATGAATGAATAGAGTGAAGTGATAGATGAATGATGAATAAGTGAGATTGATAGATAAAGAATGAATAAGTGAAGTGATAGATAAATTTAATGAATAAGCTGAATTGATAGATAAATGAATGAAAAGGAGATAAGATAAATGAAAGTGATAGATAGAGTGAATACAAGAAGTTACATTCTAATAGGGTAATAGGCTAATTGAAGTGAACGATATGATAATTGATGAAGTAATTGATAGTAAGAGTAATAGATATATGAATAAATAAGTGAACTGAAAGATAGATGAATAGATAAGTGAATTGATAGATAGATGAATAAATAAATGCATTGGTACATAGATGAATAGATGAGGGAATTAATAGATAGATGAATAGATGAGAGAGTTAACAGATAGATGAAGAGATAAGGGAATGAATGGACAGAGGAATGAATCAATAAATAGAAAAATTAACGAATTAATAGATAAAGAAATAGACGAAGAGCTGACACAAACACACAAATAAATGGAATAAGTAGATGAATAGATCAATTTCAGCGACTCAGAATGGACGGCCGCCCACAGACCAGCCCACGGACATTCCGCCCCGCCCCACCGCCCACGCCCAGTAAAGAGGTCCTCTTGCTGGCGAGCGAAGGCGACGCAGAGGGCGTGAAGAGGCTGGCGCAGGAGGGGGCGGACTTGGAGGCGATGGGCGTGCGGGCGGACGAGAGAGGTAAGGGAGGGAGGGGACGGGAGAGAAAGAGAGGAAGTGATGGAAGGAGAGGGGGTGGATGAGGGAGGAAAGGAAGAGAGAGAGATGAGAGAGAGAGAGAGAAGAGAGAGAGGAGAGAGAGTAAGAGAGAGAGAGAGAGAAGAGAGAGAGAGCAAGAGAAGAGAGAGATGGAGAGAGAAGAGCGAGAACAGGGAGAAGGGAGAGAAAGAGAAAGGAGACAAGAGAGAGGAAGGAGAGAGAGAGAAGAGAGAGAGAGAAGAGAGAGAGAGAGAGAGAGAGCAGAAGAGAGAGAAGAGGAGAGGAGAGAAGAAGAGAGAGAGAGGGAGAGAGAGGAAGAGAGAGAGAGAGTAAGAGAGATGAGGAGAGAGAGAGAGGGAGTAGATAGAGCG